ATATATTTCACTAATGAAAGATTAAATTTACACAATACAAAAATCTCCCTAAAATTCACATTACCTCCAAGGGAATCTCAGGGCTGTTTTTACTTCCGAACAGATCCTAAAAAGAAAGATTTGCTAACTATTTCAAAAATGTTTTCTATTTAAGAAAAACTTTTACAAGTCATTCTTGTAAATAATGAGAATGCTGTCCTTCCCAAGAGAGTATTTTCTACTTCAATGTTTCTAAGAATACACAGGGTTAAAGCCATGTAGAATAGATTTTCTCACAGTTGGGGAGAGCAAAACACCACAAATAGGAAACCGAACAGCTAGAGGGTCAAGACACTAGACTTCCAGGTCAGACTTCTGGTTGCAATTAAGCAAAATTCCTGCAAATATTTCTAAGGAAATAATATTTTGGGTGTCCACTTTCAAGACTTGCAACTTTAATTTTCTTCAGAGTAACTTACATGGCAGCTATCTGTATGTACATAAACATGTTCATAGAATATAGAAACATAATTAATATACTTACTTGAACATATATTATCTATGACACTAGGAATGAAATTTGGTAGGTCTCAGCTTAAAACTGAAAACTCATACCTCTTCTAGGTAATTATTCTCTTTCCACCCACATAGATACAAGGACTCCTGTATCCTAAACTGGCCGGGAACTCACTACGCAGTCAAGAATGACTTTGCTTTAATCTTCCTGTCTCCATCTTCTAAGAGCTAGAATGATAAGCATGTAACATCACACCTGGTATATGGGGACTGAATCCAGGGCTTTGTTTAAGCTAGGCAAGTACTTTATCAGCTGAGCTGCAGGCCAGCCCAGGCATTCATTCACATTTTCACACTTGAGATTATGAGGAGTGTTTCTATTGTTTTTTTTTTAAATTATTTTTCAATAACAATGTAGATAGAACTTTTCTAGGGTAGTTCACAAAACAGATTAGACCACATTTCCACTAGGTTATATGGTCGATGGTAAATAGTTTTAAAAACTGGAAACTGATAGAAATTTTGGTACTCAGTATTGAGAGCCCAGTGGCAGAACAGCAAATCTAAACGAGCTAAATCTCTGAGGGCCCTGAAGCAGACCGGTATGTCTCCAAGTGCTTCCTGAGGAATAATCTAGCAACTACCCAGGTAGACATCTCACTCAGAAATTTGTGGTAAATTCCTTTGGAGATGTGATTAATACCTATGGTGTCAGAGGGCACATGCACTCCCAGCCAATGTTCAGAAACTATCATAATTGATATTAAATTGTGCACATGTGCTTGCACATGTTGACAAAATAGTTAGCAGAAAATGTTTAGTTACTGCAAATCATAATTTTAGATTCTCTACTTTTATTGTAAATAATCAGAAAAATTAGGGGGTTACATTAGGGAATCTGAGAATGAAAGCTCTTTAGTTTTAATTACTGTGTAGGTAATTGTCTCTAAACTTCATGATGCATTTAGCATTTAGCTAGCAACTCTCAGTGCCAAGAATAAATCAAAGTAAATTCTTTTATACCAGTTCTACAGTCACCCTTCATGCCTTACAGAACCAGAGGGACCTTACCAGTATTTAATGTTAGATTTCTACCCTTTTCCTTCCTCTGTCCCTTTCTCCGTGTGTGTATGCAAATATGAGTACTTGCTCATGTATGAATGTGTGTGTGTGTGTGTGTGTGTGTGTACCAAAAGAAAAGCTCTAGTCTCTAGCTACTTTTTTTTTTTTTTGAGACATGGTGTCTCTCTAGCCTGGAACTGGCCAAGTAGGCTGGTCTGGCTGCTCAGTAAGCTCCAGATATCTGCCTGTGCTGGATTTACAAGCATGAGTTCCCATGCCCAAATTTTATTTACCTGGATCCTATGGATCAAACTTAGGCCCTCATGCACGCCTTACACACTGAGTTCTCTCTACCTGTTTTCTCTTATAAGCACTCTTATGAGTATTAACCTTAGCAACATGAAACCTCAGTTCCTGGGAACTTTGAGCCCTTGGAGGTCCTCCTGGCCCGAGTGGAGGTGGGGAGTGGTGGTGCAGCACAGACAAGCTGGTAAATGATCAGACACTTACTAGAGGTGAAAAGGCGACTGCCACAGTGCAGCGGACACAGAACTATCCAGAAACACAAAAATTATGGGAGTGCTTTCCCATATCCTGTCACCTAGTACATAAAATTATATGTTGCCTGGATAAGAAAGGGTCACTGCATTATAGCAGAGAGAAGAGAACACTGCTTTAAATCCGTCAAACACACAGGTCGTCACCTTCCTAGGCTTTAGCCAAGAGAACACTGTCTAGCAGGGGCTCCCATTTTTCCCCTTCTACTTTCATCCTTCTCTCCAATACATACACACATATTAGCTAGGCGGTAACTAGCCCACTTGGATAACATGCCGACATGCCAGTGTAACATGTTCCCAACATGCTGCGTTAGACCATGGTTTTCAATGGTGAGGGTTGTTCTCATCTGCTGGGTAGAAGTGAAGAGCCACGGACCTTGCAGTGAGTTGATTTCTAGTTAATGCCAGCTGTGCACGCAGCTCGGCGGTAAAGTACATGCCCTGTGTGTGTGAAGCACTAGTTTGGTTCGCAGCATGCCTAGACAGTCCTGTCAGAACTAGAAATACAGCAAAAATATCCCTAAAAGAAAAGATTTTTGTTTTGTTTTTTTGGTCCCATTTCTATGTCAATTTATGAGCAGGAAACATTCTCTTCCACTATTTTCCTTCCAGTTTTAACAGACAGGAGTGCTAGCCAGTTCTACTTACTCCTACAAGTGGCATGTCTTTGGAAAATCGAGTAATAAATCATTGGTCTGCATGGAAGTTGTAAAGGGCAGGCCTCTTATTCACTTGTACAACTCCTCTGACAACATTCTTTTTTGCTTATTTAATTTTTTTTCATTTTACATACGAACCCCAGCTTCCCCTCCCTCCCCTTCTCCCATCCTCTCTTATCCCCATCCCATTCCCCATCCACTTGTCTGAGGGATTAAGGCCTCCCTTAGGGAGTCAACAAATTCAAGCACACCAAGCTGAGGCAGGACCAAGCCCCTCTTCCCTGTATCAAAGCTGAGCAAGGTATCCCTCCATAGGGAATGGGCCCCAAAGGGCCAGTTCATGCACCTGGGATAAGTCCTGGCCCCACAACCAGGGCCCTCCAAGGGATCAAGCCACATAACTGTCGGAGGGTCTAGTTCGGTCCCATGCAGGTTCCCAGCTGTGTTCACAGCAGCATTATTTGTAATAGCCAGAACCTAGAAACAACCTAGATGCTCCTCAACTGAAGAATGGATAAAGAAAATGTGGTACATTTACATAATGGAGTACACACAGCAGAAAACAACAACAACAACACTTTGAAATTCACAGGTAAATGAATGGCTCTAGAAAAGATCATCCTGAGTGAGGTAACCCAGACCCAGAAAGACAAACCTCTAACAACATTCTTACAAACCAGTGTTTGACAACAAAAATCCTTCTAGCATCTAAGACTCCTGGAGGCTCTGGTAGAGTCACTGACATGTAGCAATTTAAATTGCAAAATTCTCAGTTGTAAAAGTGATCAGATTTAAGCAGACACAAAAGTGACAGGGGACTCCAATCATCACAGAAGCTCCCACAAAAGTAACACGGGACTCGAACACCCCAGCAGGACTGGAACTATAACTTGAACCTAAGCAAAAGCAACATCGGTTTTGTTTCAAGAAGTCTCTGTGATGCTCAGGCCGTGAGATCAGGAGGAAGGGCCGTGGGAGTGAGAGCAGCAGTTCGCTCACTGGCCAGTGAGATCACTCTAATAAAGTCTATATGGACGGCCAGAGCACTGTCTCCAGAGGGTCAATCAAGTACCTCACGGGCTGAAAACAACACTCTTCTGTTCACAGACCTGTCTCTGAGCACTTTTGAATTTCATTTTGTACAAAACGAAGTAAACAAGGGAAGAGACACCTGCAGCTCTGTAGCGTCCCTCCCTGACGGGTGGCTACACCAGGTGGAACCTTACTCCTCTGAGTCCTGTTTGCTGTCCACTTACTGTGGGAAGAGGTGAACACCACCTCCCCTGCATTTGAGAAAGAAAAGCATCTCGAGATGTCGCTGCTGCTTCAGCACACTTTTAGTGAAATGTCAAAAACTTCGAGTTTTACAAGTTTCCCATTCTTGGAAAAATAATCTCTGCTGATGCCACAGTAACATTCACGAGAGGGCTTATAGGCACTTACTTTCATTACTGTTCTTTTAAGTTCCTTTGTGTGTGGACGAAAGTTTAGAAAATATTTTGACCGAATACATTATGGGAAGAAATGTAAATAATGACCATAACTATTTAAACACATGTGTAAAAAGAAGACATATGCTTTCACTATGTTCTACGACAGACTAGAAAAACCCATTTTAATTCTCAAGTGGCGGTGATCAGAAAAAAAAAAAACCACTGTGTGAAAATTGAGAACATTTAACAGAGCAGGTAACTGAAAAAGTGCCGTGCTGGCTTACTATCCAGAAACGACACAAGTGAGCGATTCCTCCCTTGTCGCTTCTCCCCTGCTTGGGAGAGTCAGACAGGGCCTACACTCCCTCTGTCTGTGACTGAAGCACATTTGTTCCTGCTGTGGGTGTGCACTCAGAGCTCCAGCGTAGCAGCCCAATCAACACAAGAAGTGATGATAAAAATCGCATCTATCAAGGGCCTGTGTTTGTTGAAATTTAGCAGTTGCTGGATGTACGATGTATGGTCTTTTTTTTTTTATTGCCTTTAAAATCTGAGAGAAGCGGCAGCTGAGGGAAAGCACACAGGAGGTGTGTTAGAGCCTGTTTGCAGGCTTTCCTGAAAGTGCCAGGGGTCTCCTGAGGAAGGGCTGGGCTCACCGGAAACGGGTTTCACTTCCAAAACTTATTTTAATTAGGAAAAGGCTCTGTTTTCGATAGGCTGGGAAAATAAATACACAACAAAATGCCACATACACATCTTCACTCACAGGGACATCAGGGAGTAGAGCTCACCACAAGCTTGAGTCTGGACAGCGAGGAGAAAGCTTTCTTTGGCAGGATCTTGTGTTGCATCAGGCACTGGGGAAGGGAGGGGAACGTTTTTCAGACAGAGGGAAGAATAGGAAGAACTTGCTTGTTTTGGCCATTCTTGTCTTTTTCTTCTTTTGTGTGAACACCCGTTGATTCTCTAATACGGTGGTGATGTGCCCAGCACCAAAGGCTACAAAGGAAGTAGGTGGAGAGGAAGCCTCAATCCCTCTGCCCTGGTCACTCACATGCCATACCTGAGATGAAGCCACAAAAAGATGAGTAGATGGGTGTGCATTTTGGCTCGAGACTGAAGCTAAGATTTTAGGGGAGTAGTCAACTGAGAAGAACAGTCATGGAAAAAAACTTCGGCAGGCAGAAACCACAGTACCCAGGGAAATTTAATTTGTCTTACACTTTCCAAAGGGCTGGGTTTCTTAGATGTTAGCTGACAGAAAAGGTTACATAGAATAGAGTAATAAGTTAAAAAATTCTTACTGGTCCACAAGCACAAATGGACTGCTGTCTGGACAGACAATTTATTGCACCAAGTACTTTGAACTAGGAGATGAGCTATTTGGGTGTCTATTTTCCTGTCTCAAGATCAGAGACGGGATATACAAAGGCTAAACAAAGATGCACATATGGTAATACAAGCAAGACACTGTTCCTGTGTCTAAAGAGCTGAGCTTTAATAACAAGAATTGTTTTTTATTTAAAGAAAGCATACGTACACACAACTCTCCTTAAAGGAGACACAAGACAGTCAGACATTAGATGGCTGAACTTTCCCCAGCCACCGACATTTCAAAGTCACATGACCTTTCCACAAGTTATACAACTCCAAGCCTGCTTCTCATCTTCAGAGGAAGGATTAGGAATGGGGGCTGTGGGCTGCAGTCACAGCCCAGCAGTGAAGCACGTGTATAGCTGCAGAAAGCCTCAGTTTAATCCCCACTAATGGGGAGGGAAAGTGGCTAAGAACGCCTGTGGCAGGGGTTGCCTAGGCTGTGAGTCAGACACCAGCACAGCTGACACTGGTGAGGGCACTAGTAGGCACTAGTAGGCAGATGCTAAGGCTGGCCAGAGGGAATGGCTTAGGGAATAGCATTTTCTGTCCCTTTGTATTGGGTGATTCCCCTGTCCTGCAATCTTATACTGGGACAGGATGTGGTTTTGGAAAATGAAAGGCAGTTTGGTGATTTGTAATCCACAGACCACCGCCACCTCTGCTGCAGTGGAAGCAGACCAGAGCATCCTCAAGAAACAGGTGACCAACAAGTAGCCACAATTCCTCAGTTTATTCCAACACTGTGTTCCTCCCCAGTGTCTGACAATACCAGGGCCCTGTCCTGGAATAATGAGAGTTTGCCAATAGGAAACTCTTGCAAAGCTACATGTATAAAAGATGAGAGTTGGGAGAGCATTGTATTCTGGGGACTATGGATTAGTCAATGTAGAAGGGCAAACTGAAGAATAGTCAGGGAGCTCTCCAGGTATGCTGGTCAAGGCCACTGGGGTGCTACTCCCCTTCCTTTAGGGAGTAAGGACTTCCTGTAAGGTCAGTGTCTCATAAGTCTACCTGGGATCTTCCAAAGTCTATACGATAAGCTGATTAGCTTACGCAGCATTCTTCTTAATAGTCAGATTTTACATTACCTTAACTGAGAATGAGAAGGTCATTCTCCTGACTGTCCAATTAAAAAAAAAGGCAATTGAGAGAACTGGGCCCTTCTACCAGAACTCAGCTGTAAAGTTTACTGAGTTAGACCCAGCCAAACACAGCTTGCTAAAAGGATGCTAAGAGAAAGGCAACCTATGTTCAAGAAGATCTGCCTAAGAATGGCACACCCCGATTTCCACTGTTCTCCCAGAATCCTCTGCAAAATGGTGCCTGGCCAGTGTGGGAACAGCAATGCCATAAAGCCCCTGGATGAGCCTCCTTTAGGGTTACAGACAACCTCAGAGCACCAAGAGCTGGAAGGACTAATGATTAGAACAGACAGTGTCTGTAAACCTCCAAAGCCCTGGAGTAGGAAGTCATGTGATGACTGAACAGCTAAAAATACTGAGGCAAGTAAAGGCCATAACTGTATAAATCACTTGGTCAAAATAAGACAATGGGCTGATAAAAGTCAATGGTCTTATGCAATCAAACACTACTCAAATGTAGCAGCCTTATATAACAATGGGGAGGTTTGCCGGAATGTAAAGCATTGGCCAGGACCCGATGGAAGCAGGCAAAGCTTGTAAGCTAAAGGGTGAGAGGTCTACTCTGGTCAGAATATGTATTGTCCTGGCAAAATACATGGTTTCAGGAAACAAATGTAGGAGTGACAATCTCAGCAAACAGTTGCTTTATGCCTTCCTGATTCTGCTAAGTCCAGGACTCAGTGGAAATCTTTAACACAGAAGACCATCCAGGGGCTGGTAGAAAAGCTCAAAGTGCCATCTAACTACTTCAGGCTTCTCAGCCATTACACAGAGGCTGGGAAGGCCCAAGGAAGAAGTGAAGTGGTGGCTCACGACAGCACACAGGGAAAAGGGACCCTATGGGGAAAATATAGGAATATCATTGGTCCTATCTCCTGAGCATTCTGTCTGTCTCTCCCTCCTACCCTTTGTTTCTTTGAGACTGGGTTTCTCTGTGTAGCCCTGGCTTCCTGGGAACTCAATCTGTAGACTACACTGATCATGAACTCAGAGATATGCCTGCCTCTGCCTCCTGAGTGCTGGGATTATGTGTTACTACCACCCTGCTCCACTGAGCATTCTCAAAGTTGGTGGAACAAAAAGCAAAAATAATTTTGTCAAGGCAGAGCTACTAATAGCTAGAGCACCCCACAACCCAACATGAAGACTCCAGGACAGCTAATGACACAGGAATAGAAAACATATTAGAAGAGAGTTACAGATGGTAACTATATGTTTCATGATTACAATAATAATAATAATAATAATAATAATAGTACCTGAGACCTGCACCCAAATGGTGCCTGTGACCTCCTTGCAGCATCAGCCGCAAGAACTAAATTAGGCATTTTTGCTACTTTCCATTTGTTCTATTTAAAACATGGTGGTTATAGTTACTATCACAATTTAGACATTTAGCAAATATGGGCTATGAATGAACTAGAGATGGTTAAATGCATAAAACTATCACTCAGAACCCCTGTGGTAGAGTGGAGTTGGGCTTTAGAACTTTATCTATTTGAGGAGGTCATACACGGTAGAGCTGGAAATTGGTGTGTGTGTGTGTGTGTGTGTGTGTGTGTGTGCACACAATTCTTCTGGTTGAGTTTTGGTGGTCTGGCAAAGACTGAAGACATTGGTCACACCCAGTTCTGGTGCAGACTAGAGGAAAGTGCTGAGCTGACGCTGGTGGGAACTGATGGTGACGTCTTTCTGAAGACTCCCTCCTGCCACTACTGTAGCCTGACCTGAAAGGGCTTTCCAGATGACTTATGAAGGATGAAGCTAATATCTGTATTATACTGCTCACTGACTTTGTGAATAATCTTTGTGCTTTTTATTTTCATAAAAGATTAAGGAAACAGCCTCGGAGGAGCTTATGCAGTTGTTATAAGGAACACTCACAAAGCATGAATAAGATTAATCTTATTAGAGCAATGAGCAAAGTTATGAGCTTGTAGATTTCGGCTTACCCAGGATTACATACTCAGTTTACATGCCATGCTGAGGCATGTTACCCTGATATGGATCTGGAAATGGGAAAGAGAAACTGGCCCATGGTGAACCTGTCAGCTGAGGAGAGTGATCCAGGGGGAGAGAGAAGTGTGTAGCATTCATGCCTGGAAAACAGTATGTGGGGAGAGCGAGCACCCAGAAGACAGTTCTCTGCAGCAGGGCAATCTGGGAAGGAGGCTCTTGGGGCGCCAGCCTTCCCCTCACAGGGAGGAAGGAAGGCAAGTAAGGAGAGCACCGTTCAGTTAGGATGCGATATGGTGCGGGAGACATAAGTAATAAATGCCAAATAACACGTGGGCAGAGAAAAGGGGAAATGAGGAAATTGGTGAAAAAATACAATTTTTGAGTTGGAACATCGTTGTTAGACAGGGGAGAAGCTACTACAGTGAGGACACAGAGGCAGAAACAAAGCAGGTCTGTAGGAAATGAGGAAGGCCAGGCGAGTCACAGCAATTACTGACCTGATGAGAAAAGGAAAGATGAAGGCATTAATGGATCAATCACCTACACACATATATAGTGCTGCTTTTGCATGCCACGAACTGCCTTGGCTATGGAGAGACAACAGAGAAAATACAGGGCAGAACTGGCCTGTGGGAGGTTCACACATGTGTGGAAAGACAGATGTTTATCAAATGGTAGAAGGCGAAGTTCAGGGTACTTGTGATCTACAGATAGGGTAACTGTTCTGAGTGAACTCTGACTAGAGAACTGAAAACAACATAGAATAGGGAAAACGAGGCTCGAATTTGAGCAAAGGCTCCAGAACAATGAACGTTACAAGAAAAGAATTAAATCAAAGGCACTTAAACAAGAAGGAAAACAAATGAGCAAGACCCCAGGGAGCTTGGTTTTTATCTTAGAAACCCCGAGAATATCCTGAATGGGTTTCTACAGATCTTCACAAGAGCAGACATGAGATTTTAAGGGATGGCCTGCTTACAGTATGGACAGAAAATGGCACACTGACCATATGGAAGGAAGCCAGAGGGGTTCCTGCTCCAGCTGTCCAGCTGGTGGATACAGGGAAAGGGACTGGCCATGGTGTGAACCTCAACAGATACGCTCAGAGACTGTTGGAATGAGAGAAGAGACAAAGCACAGGGCTTTCTTAGAAAGAGCGAATGAAGCCTTCTATTAGCACCACCCTGGCTTCCTCTGGTTATACTATCATCTCACTACACTACCTGCAGTATTACACCACGAATGGTCACCAGGGGCTACACAAAGCACATAGGACGTGGTTTGTTGTTGTGCAACTAGAGAAAGTCAAGAGCAGATTATAACGGAGAAGTTATCTGCAGGGGACTGGGAGATGCCTTGGGGAGTAAAGCCCTTGCTGTACAAGCATGGCACTAGGGTTCTGATCCCACAGCCCATGTAAATGGCAGTGGGCAGAGCTGCCTGCCTAGAATTCCTGTCCGGGAAGATGAGGACAGGGGATCTCTAGAGCAAGAGCAGTCAGACCAATGAGATCCGGGTTCCGCTAAGAAAACTGGCCACAAAGGATGGGGCAGAGGAGTGGACAGTGATAATTCCTGACATCAGCCTTGTGCTTCCACATGCATGTTTGCACACACTTGTATACACAGACATACACTCAGCATACTTAAACACACACCCATCAATATCTTTAAAGAGCTCTTCTAGGCTGGGTGTGGTGCATGCCTGTAATTCTAGTATTCGGGAGGCTGCAACAGGGCTATCAAGTTTGGGGCTAGCCTGGACTCTGGACAACTCAGGTAGATCTTGCTCAGAAAAAAAAAAAAAAAAGGAAAAGGAAAAGAAAAGGTTGTAGCCCATATAGCTAGTAGAACTTTCAGAGTCTATGTGGCCCCAATAACTCTCTCTCTCTCTCTCAAGTCCACAAAACTATAAACATGAAATCCAACTCTGAAGTTACAAGCATGTGTATTACTAGAATGTTAACTGTACTCTTCTTTAGAACAGTATCAGATGTAATCTAATTCTACCGATAAATTAAGAGCACTGACGTTTAATAGAATACTTTGCAGTCATCAAAATAGCAACGTGGACCTGGAACAAGTCAAAACAATCTTGAAAAAGAGTAACAAATTACAAGACTTAAGCTTTCTGATTTCAAAACTTACCACAAAGCTATAGTATATCAAGAGGCTGCAGCACTGGCACCAGTGGCAGACGCAAACAACCGGAGCAGAAGAGAAAGCTCAGAAGTAAACCGGCATCAACGCTCAAATGGTTAGTGACAAGATTACCAACCCATCCAGTGTGGAAAGTAGACTTTTAACAAAGGATACTAAGAGAACTAGACATCAACATGAAAGTGGGTTTTAACTTTAATTTACATATAAAAAGTAACTCACGTGGGGTCAAGTTCCTGAATAAAATGGCTAATTTTTTAAAATTTCACAGAACTTCTGTTTTTAGAGGAAAAGTTTCACAAGACAGGACTTGAAAAAGACTTCCAAAGGCAGAGCATCACAGGGCCAGCAACAAAGGAAGGAAGTGGCCTTCTGGCTTTATCACATTCAAAACAACCTATGCACCAGGGTAAATCAGCAAGAGAGGGAAAAGACAAACCAGAAAATTAGCAAAAATATTTGCCAATTACATATATAATAAGGAATTAATATGCATAATATACAAAGCTCTCCAACAACAAACTTCCTCCCAAAAATGTCCAGTTAAAAATGGACTAGGCATATAGACATTTCTCCAAAGACATATGAATAGCCAATGAATAGATAAGAAGATGGCCAGTGTCACTAATCACTAGGGAGATGGCAAAACAACAACAAAACAAACCAGAGTTAGATTGCTTCACATATATTAAGATGGCTATTATCAAAATATCAGGAAGTAAGGGTTGGAAAATGTAGAGAAATGGATCCCTCATGCTGGTGAAGATGTAAAAATGATGCAGTCATGGTGGCAAAAAATATGTTAACATTAAAAACAAAAACTTATATTAACCCATTATTCTTATCTATGTTAGCCACATGGCTTGGTGCCTTTTTCAGCAGGGCAATCACATCTTCCTTCTTCTGTGGTTGGGACAGGACTGGGGAGGAAAGGGCTTCCTCCTTCCCAGAATTCTCCTGTTCTCATTGACCTGCCTCTACTTCCTGTCTGGTTGTCCTGCCTATCCTATCTGCCTGACTACTGGCCAATCAGCATTTATTAAAAACATAACTGACAGAATATAGACAATTGTCCCACACCAACCCATAATCCAAAATTTCCAAATTTATATTCAAAAGAGCCAAAAAAGCTTGAAAAGATAATTTGTATATCAGTGTTTGCAACAACAACGTTCATAACAGCCAAAACATGGAAACACTCCTTCAGTAGATGAATGAATAGGTACTGTGACATACACTGGAAGATGACAGAAGAGGTGAAATTCTGATCAATGCAGCTGTAAGGATGATGAAAATGTAACTGTAAGGGAAATAACACAGAGAACAAAATGACAGACATTATATGGCTTCATTCACGAGACACTGACGTAGCAAGAACAAGACTGTCAGAAAGCGAGACTTCCATGACCAGGGGCTCGGGCAAGAGGATGAGGACACATCAGTCATGCATGCAGAGTTCCAGACTAGATAATGAAAAACTTCTGGAGATTGGTAAAAGTGATAACTTTACAAAAATGTGTGCACATTTATGCTGCCAAAAGTGTACACTTGAAAGTTTTTGAACAGTAAGTTTTAGCTGCCTTTTACAACAACAGTTTTTAATGGTGATATAATGGAAAGGTTACAAAACTGTATACACAATAAGATCACTTTCTCTGTTAAACAAAAATCAATAAACCTTTTCCTCACACAAACCTGAGGACATTTTCATGCCATATTGGGACCAGAACTGTCTGTGAGAGACACTGGGTACTGAGTATTTAATCTCTTCCCTCAGCAGTCAGGACTGGGATGGGAATGTGAAGGCTGGCTTGAATTCTGATCAAACCACCTACTGTAACAGCTGTGCCAGAGACAGGAGTCTTGGAATCTGGCTCCATTCTTTTTCCGGTTGCACCAGATAAAATGTGAGATTGGCCAGGTCTACTTAAAATTCGTAACAACACTGAGTGGCAAATCAGAGAGCATCATCTAAAGCTGTGGTTCTCAACCTTCCTCTTTCTTTAATACAACTCCTCATATTGTAGTGACCCCCCTCAAATAAAATGGTTTGTTGCTATATAAATTCATAGCTATAATTTTGCTGCTGCAAATTATAATTTAAATATCCGATACAGAACCCCTGTGAGGTCAAGACCCACAGGTTAGGAGTCACTGGGAAGCAACATAGTTTGGTTTGAAAATGTCATTCTCTTAAGCCTTTCAGTTTGGGTGACAAAAACTACTTGTTTATTTATCATCTATAAAAGGTGAGTACTCTGGATCAAGAAAGGTTCAGAGAAATGCATGTGTGCTGTTAGCATAATGGCGTTCACAGTAGTCTACCCACTGTAGTCTGATAATTACCATGCTCTCGGAGTTCACAGTAGTCTACCCACTGTAGTCTGATAATTACCATGCTCTCATTGTATCTGTACCACAGGCTGCTATGAAATGCTGATTTCCAGTGAGAAACAAACAAACAATACAAAACAGAAAATCAAAGCGGAAGACTGAGGAAATACTAAAAACATTGGGGTGGAGGCCACAGGAGCTAGGTCTGGATTTGAGCTCGGCCGCTCCTCCCTCACAAGTGCTCTCACTCAGCACGTCACTACATCTCCACCACAGGCACCAAGCTAAGCACTGGGGACAGATGAGAAGGCACTAAATAAGTCACAGTCTCTGTCCTGAGATAACCTTGAACTTGATCAAGCCATTTAACCTCAGACTCTGTTTCCTCACGTGCACCATCACAGGTAGAATCTCAGTGATGGTGCCCTCTAGGTTTGGGGGCTAGGGGCCTGCTATGAAGGGGCTGCTCTGCGTTCTGTGAATGTAATGTCATCCCTGGTCTCTACCAACAATGGGCCAGCATCCCACCCCTTGCCAGTAATAACAACCAAAACTCTGCACACATTTCCAAATGTCCCCTGGGAATAACACTGCTCCTGTTTGAGAACATCTGAAATAGAGTGACATATGGGAAAACATTTTTAAAAGCATAAGACACTGAATCAACTTATGTCAGTATTAATATAAATCCATTTGTAAGATTATTTGTCAAAAAAACAAAACAGACCTTTAAAATTTTACAGTTTCCCTAAGAATGTTTTATTTGCTATTTTTATATATTTTGCCTACCATTAAAAGCCCTTTAAGGCTTTTTGGTGAATTTTTGTTACTCAAACACAGGATCTTCATTACAGCATATTTTTTCAATGTATCACTATGCTAACACAACAGAGTCAAATATAATTGCAATCTCTACAAAGCAGAAATTTTATTTTCTTTGTCCAAAATCTCAGAGCTTGTTGCCTACCTTTTAAGGACAAGGGACTGGATCTTGTGAATTCTGCATGTGATGGCCTGTGCTGTTTGTAAATGCCCACGTACTCCTTAACTCTGGAATCAATGGTTTCTTTTAACAGCAAACAAACTTCCTAAAGTAAATTTAAAACAATAGACATATCAAGTTTAATGCAATGCAAGGAAGAAAAGATTATACATACCGAAAGGGCAAATGCTGGCATTTAGTTAGCTTTTTAACCCAGCTGTGAACACAGAAAAGAACACTGTACAGCCTTCTGGAGAGCAGTGCACATGAATGTGCTATCAAAGACAGCTCCATGGCTGATGTTGGCTCTGCCTCTGATGATGTTCTCTCTGCCTCAGTTTCACAATTCCAAATAAAGATTTAAAAGCTTACTTCAAAAGCAGGGCATAGCTTCAAGAATGTTTTCATGTAAGTATCAGTCCATCACACTGTGATGGATGGAAGGTATAAATTCCATGGAGCTGTCTACACGGGTTCAGCATGGGACTCAGGGGTGCTCAGAGAGGCAGAAAAGAGTATAAGAGCACTCCTATAGTCAGTATAGGTGGCATGGGGACAGGTCACAGAGGCCACTAGCTCTGGCCCTACTAACCCACTGCACTCTTGTTTTGCCTGCAGATAAAGTGTTGCCTGATGCTATTTGTGTAAGAAAAGCCAGAAACTTACATTTTCCAGCATGGTTCAGATTTATTAAGTTTTATTGCTGAGTAAACAGCATTATTCATTAGTTTCTGGCCTTGGGTTTACAAACACAAGAGATCAAAGTGATAGGCTAAAGAGAAGCAGGGAGGGGCAATAGGATCTTCTCACTCTTGTGATGATGTCGTAGATCCAACAACTGCTTTCTAAAATCACAATAAGAGTCTTCATTCACGAATGATAAAAGTAACTTCTCATGTCTCTGGTATAGATTAATGTTACTAGGTAACCATACCAGGCCTGAATTCAATTTCAGCATGCAGTATTACTAATAAGTTTCTAGAGATTTCAGTTGGCATGTAATATTTGCAAAGAACAGAAACAACAACAAAAAAATAACTCAGAAATCCAAATGTACAGTGGGTATCACTATTTTGTGTAGTGTTTCCTGCATTACCAGAAAAATGTAATTTACCATAAGAAATCAAGGGAAGCTACATATAGGACAGATACTTTAAAACTGAGACAGATCCTAGATTAATTCTCAACAATTCTGTAGCAGATTCAGAGTTGTTCGGGTCACCTCAAACTTGTTCCACTTGTTTCTCAGAAAGCCATCACAGGTTAATCGCTGAGATTCTTCCTAATTACAGCATGAACCAGGTTTTTGGCTGCTCACTCCTTTATTGCAAATACCCCTTAAACAGGATATAAAATCCTTGATTTAACACAAACATAGACATTTCTATATAAAATGCAAATGCCAGTCTCCTCTTGCTTTTTATTTGCAGCTAAATGTGGAATATAAAGATAGCATTTACAGCTGAACGCTTGGCACTGCTCACACAACACAAAGACAGCCTGGCCTCGTACTGTTGTTCTAGCAATTAAATAATTTTTGCTTCACATGCAGGGTTCAAGTATGACTGAGCTAGAAAATATGTGGAAGACACACAAGGCAACAAGGATTGCTAAAATTTGGCCATAAATACCCTATAAGGCTAGAACTAAAAATAGTAAGACAAAAATAGAGCCCATACACATGAAGTTTCTCACTATATTCCAGGCGTTCCTTATGGGAATCAGGTTTCAGGGATTAAAGACGGGCAATGTGCAAAGTAGACGGATACCTAAGAACTGATCGAGCCAGGCTTGGGAAAGCATCCCTGTCTGGCCTAGAGCAATGCAGGGAAGAAAACAGCCAGCAATATCTGAGAGCAAGGTGAGAGGACCAAGTAAAAAACCCACCAGTGGGCAGGAGACAGACACAGCCTCCCTATGCTAACAGGGCTTCTGTCTGCTTCCTCAGGTTCACAGACGGGACAACTTCAGTTTGTCTGTTTCACTCCAAAGACTACATGAGCTGGATTCGAATGAGATGCACATTTAATATATGGCCCAGCCCTCTTTTCATACAAAGCGCCTGCTAAAATGCAAACAAGCTGGTTGTTTCTAGATTGGGTTGTCTCTAGCCCAATCATGAGGCGATCTAGAGACGGAAAACAAGGAAGCACTGACTGAGCATAGGCGAAGTCATAACCTGTCCTTAAGTCTCCTTTTGAGGACACAGTCATAAATTATGTCTGACTGACTTGAACAGCAGCGAACATAAATTGAAGGAACAGCTCAAAGTAGAGGTGGCAGCTTTGCTTTGAGAGGAAAGATCGGCTCAGTAGGGCAAGCAGGCCTCCTGCAGTCACCATTGAAGGGGCTCTCTGCAGGTTCCATCATGCACCTCTGCTAAGTTATGCCTCACTGCCCCGGAATAGACACTGGCTGGAACAGCACAGCTGCACGTGGCACCTGGACAAGAAATCTAGCCTTGCGCTTTCTAGTGGAGGTGACTCTTGGCTCTAGAACATTCCATATCAACCATTTCTTGGTCACAACTGCCTAAACATCAATATTAAAGGTCTACAGCCCAAGTCTTCAAGCTGCAGAAGAACACGGGAGAGCTGGGGCCTGAAATGGTGGACTTGAGAACCTTTGCGAAGTCAGCAGGGCAAGATCCCTTGTGTGAAATATTAGTCACTTTGGTGGAGAGAATGCGCTAATTTGAATCATGTAGACACGTGCTAATGACTTAAAAATTGAGATAATAAGAAAGAGAACAGTGGAGAAAAGTCCTGACCTGCTACACACAAAGTCCTCAAGAGGACAGTACATAGTCAATTTCCTTCATGAGAGATTCACAAAACCTGCGTCTTCTCAGCATCAGGTCACTAGATATTCCTGCAAAATAATGACCACAAAGTACTGGTGGTATTACCATTTTACTGAGAATGTACTCTTAAAAATAATGTACGGGTGGGTAGGCTGGTTTTAGCGATGTGAACACTGGTCACAAACAGCAGTCTCTCCTCTACTCCTACTGTTCTGTTACTATTCAGCCCTACTGCTTAATACAGTTTACATTTATTTACCTCTCTAACAGTAATGGCAGCAGGCAAATACTATGGAGGAAATGAAGAACAGTGTTTTGAAGGTTTTTAAATTATGTTTACTCATTTACTTGTAGTGTATATGTGTGCAGCTGTGCAGGCACACACATGGCATGGTGTACATGTGGAGGGCAGAGAATGACTTGTAGGAGTTAGTTCTCTCCACTTTTGCCTGTCATGGGAATTGAACTCAGGTCAGTATTGGGCGGCAGGCACCCTTACCCACAGAGTCATCCAACTGGCCTGCTGGGAAACTTTTGAATAGGCCTCTGCCTCAGCACCTGTCCCTGATCTCTACAGAAGGAAACAATGATTCTCCATCACAAGAGCTAACAGAGAGGGTGCTGAAACCACAGAAGACTGAGGCTTTATCTGGTCAAACTCCTTAATTTGAAGACAGAGAAGGTGGAGGCTCTTGGGGAGGTCAGATATCATAGAGCTGTTCCTTGCAAACAAGGCTGACTGGTGACTGTCCTGTAACTTAACTACTAATAACTGGTTTTCTGTTTGGTTTCAAAGATTCTGATGTGTGTGTCTATGCATATGTGTGTGCTGGGAACTTATCTCAGGTCCCCAGAAATGAGCTATCTCTTTAATAAATAGCTAACTATTGACTGGAACGCCTTACTAATGAAAAACAAATACTTAAGTGACACCTTTTCTATTTTAGCTGCATTATACGTGGTTAAACAAATACTTAGGAATGGTAGAGACTTTTGTGTACCCTGGCATGCAATTTAGTAGAAGGACAAATTGCTCATGTGGCAACAGCTGCTCACCCAGTTTCAGGCTGACCCTCACAACTGAGACCACTCTAGAGCTTAATCAACGGCAGCAAGTGTTGATAGCAAACACTAAAACAACTGTACTTAAACATTTCAATATTTCTAGGCTACAAAGTTTACCCAACAGTTTTTTTTTCAAATTCTCCTCAAATTTCATGTATTAGCAGAGCAAACCTACATGCTCCAAACCTGTGTTGTTCAGACTCAACCCATCTGTACCAACTATCTGCTTCACCGGCAGGCCAGCAGCAGCGGGGGGAGACTGAAGCTCCTCTTCCCTTGTCACAGGCTCATGACAATGAGAAGAGCCTACGATGAAGGTAAGGACTAATACAGATGTGCAGATTAGTCTTGTGTGAATTCCACACCGGTTCCAGGTGCCACCAGTTTTCTCGCCACTCAGATCAAAATCCCCGCTTGCTTGGAATAGTTTGACTTCTTTTTCCTCCCTTTTTATTATAGAGGATCATTTTCCCCAAATGAAAAGGGATTAGAGTTTTTGGTTTAAACAACAGAGCCTGGGATGATGATGCAGAGATGGGGAGTACCTACCAAGCACGTAAAGGCCCTAGATTCGATCTCTAACACCACATGCACGTACACACACACACACACACACACACGCACGCACGTACACACACGCGTGCGTGTGCACACACACACACATCAACAATAGATTAGCGTATAAAACATGGTTGTGTCAGTTTCTCAAGGGCAGAGGTGGGAACACATGTATGCTTTTAGGGCATACTCCTAACTAACCTAACTACCACTCAACATTTTTAAAAAATACTAATGAAAACAAAAGCTGAGAAGAGCTGCCATTTCTTCCAGCAGATATAATAAAAAGTAGTGTTTAAAGAGTAAAAATTTTTATTGTACCTCTTTCTTCTGTTCAGAAAACCAACTGGAATCCTTGTTTGGACCTTGCGCCACTATATGAAGATCCACGAGGACAGCAAAATTTCCACACTGAAAGAGAAGGGGTGAATATTTATTAATGGCAGAATGTGTCTGCAGAAAACTGCAGAGAATCTCACAAACTCCACACACAAGAACACAGCAACAAAACCACTCCTGGATGGAATCCCAGCATGGCTACTAATGTTCACAAGCTCATATTTATAATGGAAATGCTATGAAGAAATATAGGCTTAACCAGGACAGAGATGACAAAATAACTGTCCCTAGACCACAACTTGAAAGAGTCTAACCAGACATCTCCGTGACAGCTGATAGGCAAAACAAGAGAAAAGTTGAACAGGGCGATACTAGGTAGACCTCAGAAAAGAACAATTCTGTGGAGATTCAGAGAAAGGGACATCCTTTCTCTGCTGTGGATTAATTATTCTGTACACTGTGAATATGCATTACTCTCCTTCGATTAATAAAGAGCTGACTGGCCAGTAGCCATAGGTGGGACCACTAAAGTAAGGACAAAGTCAGAGGAGTAGCCAGCAGTTGCAAGAAGAACCAAGATGAGCATGCCATACTGAGAAAAAGTACCAAGTGACATGGCAGAATGTAGATAAGAAATATGGGTAAGAGTTAGCTAGTAACAAGCCTGAGGTACTGGTCAAGCATTTATAAATAGTATAAACCACAGTGTGTTTATTTGGGAGCTGCTGGCAGGCCAGAAATTTCCACCTACATTTCTCCTCAGGAGTAAGGAATCTGTGTAAGCTATTGCCTTTTGACAAGGAAGGAATTAGCTGGACCAAAGAGCTTGGAGTAAAAATAAATACACAGAAAAACAAGAAAAAAAAAAACAGAAAAAAAAGGAGTAGATATTTGAAGCTCGTTATTAAACTAAGGAAAATTTCAAATATGCTGTGAGTTTTCAAAGCCTCCTTTCTTACTCTATTGGCTAGCTGATGCAAAACCTTAAAAGAAAAAAATGAAAATACTGTATGTCTGTGTGGTACAATAGTGTAGCCAATTGGGTACTCAAAATATGGCTACTGTGATTTAAAAGCTGACATTTTAATTCTGTTTAAAATAAACTTGGTAGCCCCATGTAGCTAATGTCTCTGCACTGGACACCAGGCATAGAGATCTCACGAAAAGATGTAGCCAGACTAGAGATGGCTCGGTGGGGAAAGTGCCTGCTAGGCAAGCATGAGTACCAGCCCTGGTATGTGCCTCATGTCCCAGTGCTGGTAGGGCAGAGACTCACAGGCTCCAGAAGCTCACTGGCTAGTAAGCCAAACTGAAACAGCAAGCTCCAAGTTAAGTAAGAGACCCTGTCTCAAAAAAATAAAGTGTTGTTCAATGAAGGACGATGTTGCCCTCTGGCCTCTTGTAGGAATTCATGCAGGGATGCATGCAGGGAGTCCTGTTGGGAGCACATATGTGCGTGTGTGCGCGTACAGATACACACAGACACACACAGACTGGAACCTTAAAATTGTCACACCTTAAGAGTAATTATTAAGATTCCCCAGATAACAGTAAATGAACATTTTGGAAAGGAAAGAATGTATAACCAGGACCCAAGATAACAGTAAATGAACATTTTGGAAAGGAAAGAATGTATAACCAGGACCACAGGTTGGGGATGTCCAAGAGACCCAGAGATTCAGTCTATAGACCTGTAGTAAAGTCACGTTGATAAATCTCTAAGGAGATCTTTGATTTCCGTTTTAAACTTTGGTGAAAGCAGATTTAACAAATGGTATTAGAGCATCAGATACAAACACAGAAAGAAAATGAAACTCACCTGGCATCTGCCAGACACAAAATTTAACTTGAGATAGATTACAGACTTAAGTATGAAAACCAAAAACTACTATTCTCATCGTAAAGGCAGGAAAAGATTTCTTATGTATGAGCTAGAAAACACAAAACATTGAAAGAAAAATTGTTGACTAAGCTGGACACGATCAAAAGAAGAAATGTTTGCTCATCAGCAGTACCACCAGTGGAATGCTATGTGTGCTGCAAACTGGATAAAACACCCTCACAAACACACATCTGACATGAAGGACTGGAATCCAAAGTAGGAAAACAACTTCCATGGACTGGTAGATTTTTTTGACATTCTAAGCTGGAATAGACACCACAAATATGAAAAATAGATGGCTGCACATGAGAGAGTGTTCACCATCACTGCTCACCAGTCAAGCTCAGTTCCCAATCAACAGCTACAGCCATGAAATGCAGGAGAACGTCTTAAGTTACAAAGACCAACACCATACCAAACGGGAGAAGATGGAGCAGCCCACTCTGACACGCTGATGGGGATGGAACTGGGTTGACCCACTCTGTCAAACGGTTTGCCTGTTCCCTACAACGAGCCATGTCCTTACTGACTAGGTCAATAAGGCCATTAGGACAACGAGGCCACCCTACAGGTTCACCTAAGCAACAGAGCTCTGTTCACACTAACGAGGACTGAAGACATACTCAAGGCCCAGCAACAGGAAAATAAGCTAACCGTAGTCTACTCACACAGTGGAATGGCATTAACCAAAATGGTGACACAGCCAAAATGGACTCATCTCAAAAAACATGAGCTAATGAGGTCAGACCAATGGATGCCTACTCCCCGGCTCCATGACAGCAAGAGTCTTGTTTGGTAAAGTGTCGGGGCGGTGCCTGAGAGGCATACGAAGAAGTCAAATGCAGTGACAGGAAACTGTGGGGTCCTGAACGGAATCTGGGTTGTATACCTAAAAGTAGCTCTGCTATTCTCACCATGTGTAAATTAATCACCACCAATAAATAATTTTTAAATGTAAGTAAGATGTGAGAATCTGTGTGTACATTATATGGCCTCCTATGAGGCCAGCATACCATGGCCATCTGAATGTAACTTAGTTTGATGCATCCAGAATTTTATTTTAATAAAAGAGATCCAAGAGAGAACATTAGAAAGCCAGAAAAAATATCAGTGTACCACATGGTAAGATAGAGAAGCTTTGTGAAATGCTGATAACAGGTAAATTTCTTTATGTGGGCTGCAGTAAAAAAAAAAAGTTTGAAAGCCATACTCAAGTATATTATTATGCTTAGAATTTCTTTTCAGTTGTTGGTTACAGATCTAACCTTTAAGGAGTATGCTGCCACCAGGTGGAGGCCATATGCCACAAGTACAAGATCTTAGCTGGGGGATATTAACAGTTAGTATGCCACGAATCTTTCTTCAGCCAACTGAAAATCTGATACAATGTGCTTAGAATGCTTTTGAAATACATGAAATGTAATATATAGGATTAAAAAACTGACTACTCTGCAGCACATTTATGAAAACCTTAAAAAGTGACCCCAAATTTGTGATATAGTAATAACGTGTACGAGTTTTGCAGGCAATGATTTATATCACAGACTATGGACGTGGTGACAGCAGTAAACTGAAGGCAGTGAAGTATGTCTGACATTTTCAAATATCTGTGACAACTCTAACCACAGAGAGCTGTGATGTCTAGAGGCCACAAGCACTGTGAAAAACCACCGCCATGTGACTCCTACAATCATAATAATCCATGAGAACTTGGTCAGAACCAAGCTCTGGCTTTCCCTTCTCAGTCCAAGGAAGCTCCCAAGGAAACACAAGGTTCAGGCTGGAGTTTTCTCACAGCCCAGTTTATGCTTGATTATAGATTAATTAGATTTTTCATTCTTTAAATAAATAAATCTTCAATTCTTACACTGACAATGTAAGAGAGAAGTTTCCTAGGTTTCTGAAAGATTCTGTTCTGAGGTTCTCCCTGGGCAGCCAGCAAGCCCTGGTTCTCTGTAGCAGGAGCTTAGCTATCTACACTAATCAGGAGTACTGTGGCTTCTAAACTTCTCTGCTCTCAGAGCTCCACTTTTTTCTCCCATGAGTAAACTGAGGTGAACAAATAGGCTTCTGAGCACAGCAGGAGGCAAAGCCTCCCTTTCTCCTCAACCTTAATTAGGAGGTTGTTGCTACTCTCAGAAGGAAAACTCTCCAGTTCTCTTCAGGACAGGAAACATGGGAACCATTACTTCTTCCACAAGCCAGAGGCAGTCATTAGAAGTGAATCCAAGGGCAATGAGAAATAGCTTCACATCCTGTGCACTGGGCTGTGCGTGCACAGGCAGGAAACTCTCTCACTTTCACTCCTCCATCTAGAGGTGGCAGCCTAAACCCCGGGAAACACCCCCGTTGGAGAAGAGAGCCTATTGTTGGTTCCTGGCTGCTTAGCCCCGAAATAATCACACAGAAACTGTATTAATTAAATCACTGCTTGGCCCATTAGCTCTAGTTTTGACTCTAAAATTTAAGTCAAAAGATATGTTACTTTGGATAAGAGGTTTTGCTTTTGTTTCCACAGGAAATGTGGAACTGTGGATTCTTACTGTGTTAAGAAAAATCAGGTTTGACCAAGGAAGATCCCCTGAGAAATATCCGATAGGAGGAATGGCCCAGATATCTGAGTTCTATATCCAGAACAGTACAAAGACTGCTGCCTGAGATGATTAAGCCTCACAAGATACTCCAGTCAGGACTTGATCAAAATTCTAAATTTTCTTTAGGTCCCCATAAGATTATCAGTGCCCCCAATCAGCAGGAAGCACCCTAGAAAACTATGCCCACATTTCCAAAAAATGGATTATGGATGTTTGCCTTTGTTTAGAATGTTGGTTACAAGTTGTTATAGATAATGGCCAGTAGAAAAACTAAACAAAGGAGATTCGATTCAGAGTTCTTGTTTAAAAAGTGTGTGTGTGTGAGCCTGGATCCTGTCACACTTGTATTTTAAATAAAAGCTGATTGGCCAGTAGCCAGACAGGAAATAGAGGTGGGACAACGAGAATTCTGGAATTCTGGGAGGAGAGAAGTTTTAGTCTGCAGTCGTCACCCAGACACAGAGCAAGGAAAATGTGACAGCCTTGCCGAAAAAGGTACCAAGCCACATGACTAACACAGACAAGAATTATGGGCTAATATAAGTTATAAAAGTTAATAAGAAGCCTGAGCTACTAGGCCAATCAGTTTATAACTA